CGATAAACTTTCACGCAGCAATATGAAGTGAAAGAGATCCGTATTCAGATATACATGTACATATATTTCAAAATACATTAAACCATATGCTGCTGAATGGAATGAATGCAATTGCAAACTAACTCTAATGATCTGTTAATGGCGATTGTTCAAACTGTGTGCGAATGTTTATTATTTGAAAAGATATCGAAACAGTAATACTACATGAATAATTCTAGTTCGTACAAATAACATATAAAAAAATGAATTTTTTAACGAACGCAAATAAATTTTAATCAAAGAGAAACTTGACTCGGTACTTTTATACAAAATTTTCTATAGAAATTTATAAATCTATTTTGCTATATAAAAAATATTAAAACATTAATATAATTTTATAATAAAATATTAATATTTTTATGTTAAAACATAATAAAGGAAAAAGTCGGAGAAATAACTTTTTAAAATAATATTTATTACAATAGTTTTTGCAGAAAAGTTGGAAATGTAAAAATGTATGAACATCGACAAAGAACATTAATTTATTATTTAATAAATTAATTAATATATTAAAATTAAACTTCAATTACATCGCGGGTTAATATTTTGGAACCAACAGATTTTATTTGTTATTTTTTATATAAGGAAGTAGATTAATAAATTTATACACAGAATTTGTAATAAAAAATTTAAAGTAATTTAAAAAAATTCAAAAAGTTATCAATTGCATAAATTCAAAAATAATATTATAAATCCGTAAATGTACTCTGCCATAATAATAATCGCGTCCCGTTTTTAATTTTGCTTTACATATTGCCATAAGCGGATTTACGAATCGTATTGAGAGTTTATCGACTTTTTGATATAAATGATTGAACATCCAATAAGAGGGAGAAGACAATTTTCTCTTATACTTTACTTACAAAGTATTCTTTTTTTTGCAACTCTATGACTTTTTATTTATGAGAATATAAATATTTCAATGTTTTGATAAAATAAAGTCGAAAGCTACATAATCAAAGAAGAAGTTTCTTTATACGGCAGTCTGATTCTTCTACGGAATACAACCGAGTTCTTTTTTATTTATTGTACATTTTATCGATACATAAAGAAAGATATGTTCTTTCTGTGGCCGTTTAATCTATCTTTTCTAGTCCACAATGAAGAAATCGATGTATTTTGCTCGCGTCATTTTGTCATAATGCTTTCAATAAAATTCGACAATATTTTTGAAAAAAATTTCTCAAATTGATAACATTTTCAAGCTTTTATTACAATAAAAAATGTTATAAATTTTTATAATGTTTACAACCCGGGAAAACAATTACACTGTACATGAATAAAATATTTAGTGAATAGAATTTAAAATTTATATAAAACAGAACTTATTTGGCTGGTTAAATAGTCATGCGAAACATTGAAACATTCATTCTGACATAACGCGAATGATGGAAATTGTATTCTATTTTGTAAACTGAGCGTTAAACAAAAGAATATTTCGCCCTTTGCCGCCTCGCTGTTCAACAATGACGTAACTACAATTAGGAAATATATATACGCCATGTGTGTACAAAGAAAGTAAATCCTCCTTAAAAGTGTACCGCGGAAGATTTCTACGCTGGCGGTGTTCCAGTTTTTAGAAATTAGTAACGGTCCGGAAACACTTGGAGGTAGATATAGTAGGCGGAAGTAGACAACAACGGATAATAATGGCCAAGTTGGTTACGTTACGGCTCCGCGGGAGCGTCGCAAGAAACATAGCCGTCTTTCTCTATCCAGACTTCAGAAAAAGGTCAGCACCCTTGATCATGATGAAAGTTGCGCCGCCAAGAAGTTCCGGAAAGAGAGATAACGTATATATGATTGTGCTCGCAGCTTGATACGTATAGAAAACGCGCATTTGCTATATTGCCATATTGCCGTTTCAGAATCCAAAAACTAGAATTGACAGAGCGCCATTGTCTTACAGGATGCTTTCTCATTCTTATTGTCAGTTAATGAAACTTTTTTAACGAAACTTCCATTAAGGAATAAAGAAATTTGTTTTACTTGTTACGATATATTTTACAGATATATCTGATTGTGAGATAATGGAAAATTTTTAGGAGAATAATAGATTGATGTAAAACATCTAAAACAAAACAAATTAGCACATCCTCCTTTTTTGTTCGTTCCGAAAAAAAGCTTTCTACAAGCTTCTTCGGTTTGAAATAGTCGCTCAATTCGACATCGATCGCGAATACTGAAACTTTCATGGACCGCGGCGGCGGCCACTCGGTTTCTCGGATTGTAAATCAGATGAAAAGGCAATTAACCCGGCGCGCAATAATCGGCGACGCCTTCGGCCGCGGGAAATTACCTCGCATCGGCAAAAATACGTAGGCGGTACGCCGCGCGGGAAAGGAAGCCCATTAGCGCCCCGTGCGAGGGAGCGAAGTGGTCGTTCATTCATGAACTCGGGGCGGCCATAGCGTCGTAGCTATCGCTGTACTACATTCTCAGTATTATCGCTACCACTACTACGCTCGTTACTACGCTCGCTCTACTACGCCACTAACACTTTTACACGGTATCGCTGCTGCCGCCACCACCACTACCACAGCCACCACCACCACCACCACCACCGTCACTGCCACCGGCACTGCCGCCCTCGGCGCACCGACGTCGGTTACGCGTTCTACCACAAACCGGGTACCGGCATCGTCACCGCCGCGGCGTGCCGAGCATCGCGTTCCTCGCGTTCTTACGCGAGGAGCTTCGAATACCCCCTGCAATACGGTTCGTCCTTTTAGTGCGACGCACTTCTATCGTCAAGCGCCTTGACATTGAGAGCACCGACGCGAATGCCCCGCCGCGTATCGCGATCATCCCGATGCGGTTCCCTGGCTGGTTTCCCTATGTCGGAAATGTCGAGCGGATCCGTCGAGTGAATGCTGAATATCTAATCCGCTCTTCTGACATCCCTAAGAACATCCGAGCCGGATGGTGCGCATTCGAGATTATTTGAAAAATGTCGCGAGTGTAAAAAATTTCGATGTCGGAGAGAATATCTTCGTTCTTAATTTCTCGTTTGCTTGCCAAAAAAATTCGATATCAAAATTAGAAGACTGACAAATGTTATTATGAAATTAAAATCCGATAAATGTAACAAGTGATTTAAACGTTTGTCAATGGAACGACAAATGTAAAAATACTTCTCTAGATATCCTTTTTATAATAATTCTAGATATTGGTTGTTTATAAGAATCTTTATTGTATATTGATAAGTATCATTTTTCGACTTTTCGCTCTCTTTTAAAGATAGAGCGCTAAAAAAAATCTGCCAATTGAATTTTACACCAACTTTCCGATAATAAAAGTTATCTTGTTTTCCGTTGTTGTTACAAAACTAATTCACCGTTTCACCTTTTAAATTGCGCGATGAGTTATAATTATTTTTGTCAAACTGAGCATATTGTACATTTAAATATAAATTGTGAAAATCATTTATCTCAATTATCGCAATCACGACAGCTAGCACTGTTAATAGCTCGAGGTTATTTCCATGTTCAGCTAAAACTCGCGCTAAATTAGGAGCTTCCCTCCCAGGACAAGGTAGGAAATCAGCTCTTAATTTTGGTAATGGATCCGAAATTTGTAGAAGCAATAACAGTAATGCAATTGCTTCAGCATCATAAATACACTTATCTTATATGTTCGAGTGTAAAATTTAAGTGTAACAATTCCCGTCTCTGTGAAAACGATAACTAAAAACATTCTCAATTGCGACACGGGACGCGCAATTATTATTTCCAACAATTATCAATTTCAGCTGGTGCTGAATTTTCGATTAATTTTCATTTCAACGCATATTATGTACGTGCAAAAAAAATACAATCACTTTTAAAAAAAAAAACCTTTCGTAAAAGTTTCCGCCGATGTGCTTCCTTACCGTGACAGGTCGTTAGAGTGAACGACGAGCGGACATTTATTTCATAATTTTGTCAGTCAATGCTTCTTGAGAAATGGGATTAAACTTTCTTGGCTCTTACGGAAATCGATCAAAACATTATCGTCGCTCGCGCTCGGCGTCGCTTCCGGTTATCCAACGGCTTTAAGGTCAATGCGCATACTACGGTCCTTGACACTGAAACAACACGAAACTTCGGCAACTTGCCGGCAAGTCTGCGAGATTTCCATACGTTATGCCGGAACGAAGAGAATGTATCCAATTAAAACGAACGAAACTTTGACTTAACTGCTCAAGCCTAAACGCAAATTGTTTCGGTTCGTGTTTCCTTCGTTAGACATTATTTATGGCCGGGAAGCGGAAACGCATGTGGAATAGAGAAAAAACATTTGTAGATAGCGTCGGTCCTCGGTGAAGCATTTAACATAAAAAATTAGAATAAAGAAAGATTTTTTAAATATTTATATATATATAAATAGTAAAAAAAAGCAAAGGGAAGAGAAAGACACGAGACAGCGCTATCAATTCTTAATTAAAATTCATACTTATAATTTATAGAATAATTTTCTTAACAAAACTAAATATTATTTACTTACAATTGCGCTACTTTAAAAATCTTCCTTCATTCTAATTTTAAATATTACACTTTTCACATGGAGCATTTAAAACTCTGAATTCTATTTTCGCGTCGACGAAAAAGTTAATGTATGGCAAAAATTTTCGCAATTTAAAAATTGAATCAACATTCTTTAATGGAAATATTCGCTATATCCGTCCTACGCTCTTTGCGTATTAACTATATTAAAATTTAATTGAATCCAACGTCGTTTCTCACGATAAATGACTGATAAAATCGATTTCCATAATCCTCACAACTCTCCGCCCATCGTATCGATAAAAAAAAAAAAAAAAAAGAACTCCCACGATGTGCGAACTGACAGTGCGACCCCGAAAATTGCCTATCTATATTCCCTCCGCGCGGGGACACGCGCGAACCTACTCGAGGACAGTGGTGGCTGATGGTGACGGCGACGGCGGCATGGAGAACGGAAGTTACAAAAGAGATTCTCACCCCCGAAGCAAACAACTCTCTCGCCGCTTCCGCCGGAGCCTCGGACCGTAAACACACGTCGGTGGCTGGTCGCGTACTGAAGTTTCCCACCGGCGGCGGATCCAGCTTCCCCGACCGGAGAGAGAGAGGATCCCGCACACCGGCGTTCGACCCCACCGCCCCACTCGCCGCCTACCGCCGATGCGAACACCCTTTAACCCTCCTCCGTTCGGCGCCCTCCATCCTCCGGCCGTCACTCGAAACCGTCACCGTCACCCTATACGAACCGCCGCCGACACCCCCGCGCTGCCCTCCCTTCATCCTAACACCTGCAGCGGAGGAGGGATGCTCGAAGATAGGATACCTGGCGTCTCACTCGCACTTGTGCCATCACACAGCGTCGATCACATCAGCTCGGCGGTGATCGAAGCTCCGAACCTTCGTACGGCATTTTTTTTTTTTCACGGCGGCGCGCTTATACAAATGCACGCTTACGCGAAGGAATTCGCGCGATCGGAATAATTGCGACGCGGAGAGATTAATGAAACACCGGCGTTGCAATGCCGGGACCAATAGAATTGTTGTGAATGTGGAATGGCAGTATCTTTTCAACAGCTATCGGAATATCGTTAAAACTGATATGAAATTATTTAATTTAATGTATATTAAATAATTATATAATACGTTACAGTTATCCGTTTTTTCGCGATACTCATAAAATAACTTTTATCTTGTTCATAAAATACAAAGCGCGCGGCGGACAGATTTTCCGATATTAACTTTCATTGTCCGTATAAATGTTAGCGTTTCGTTGCAAACGAAGAGCATAACCCGTAGTTAGAGATTAAAGGATCAAACGGAGTCGTAAAACGGTATTGAACACTTTTGCCAACCGTTTGGAGGAACCAAGAGAAACTTCGGTCTACATCCCTAAACCATGGATCACACTAAACACTTCCCTCTCTCTCTCTCTCTCTCTCTCTCTCTCTCTCTCTCTCTCTCTCTCTCTCTCTCTCTCTCTCTCTCTCTCTCTCTCTCTCTCTCTCTCTCTTTTCGGGCCATCGCTAACTTTAAAGCCACCTCCATTCTTACGAGTATTCGTCCTTATAAAAGTAACCGTTTGGCCGGCAAACCTCCGCCGACATGTCGACAAAAAGTCGGCGAAACTCTCGAAAAGTTTGCCGTCTCCCTTCAGCGGCATATTTCATTGTCGGCCGCCATATAAATTGTGAGAGATTCCGCGCGATGTAAGGTTTAGACTTGTGATTTAGGAAACGTTCCGGGCGCGCGGTTTTCGAGGAGGGATCAAATCCCCGGGAATCAACGGTTCCCGGACTTTGAGGAGCTCTCTCGGAAGTCCCTCGCGATTTAGAAAAGTTTTCAGCTGCCGAAAGTTTTTGTATCTCTGACTTCTCCTTCGAAACTCCTGGATCCTCTTCTCGCGCGCCTCCGCGCATCCCAAATGCGCATCACGTACATTCGCATGAATATCCGGTCGACGTATAATGCTTCAGTGACGTATTCGGGTAACACAAGAAGCATGTAAGGCCGCGCGTTTCGCCGACAGGCGCGCAATGCTGACAAAGGTATATGAATTTCGGTGGCCGACACAGTCCTGCATTTTGTCAGAGTTTAACAGAGATATTGCTTTTATTTTGAATATACATTTATTTTTTTTTTTCTCTCTCGTAAACAGCCGCGTAAATTTAGATTCGAGTGTTTACGACTAACATCGATATCGATAAAATGCAAACGCGCGTTGTTTTACGAGCTGTACGACACAATAGTTTATCGCGCACGTATTCTTTCTACTGTATTATTGTTAATATATTTTCACCTTAATATTTTTTATTAATAATAATTTAACAAAACCAATGGAATATGTGAAAGCTCCGCCGTGCTATTTATATTCATAAATTCTTATGAAACGGATTTAAATCGGGTATCGATATTTCTATCATTTATTTTTCATCATTTTTACGCATCGCCCATTTGTATCAAGAACCATTTTGCATGTAAAACAAGAATTTTGCAATATTCTGTCGATTTAAAATTCCAGAATAACATTTATCAAACTTGACCGAACCTTTCATCAAATATTGAAAAACTGTCTCGCATTTCGATAAATAAATACGCCCTAAAAGCTTCGACGTATGTTTCACGCAGTGTTTATATTTGTCCTTTTGCTCTGTAACCCAAGCGGCGAGAGTGCATGTGGAAGTATACAAATCGGCACCGGAGTATCAGTTCGTAAATCATGTCGAGAGTGGGACAAGTTTGAAACATAAGTGAATAAGTTCTCGCGAAAAACTTGGAAAAGCTACGAGCTTGTAGATAAGCCTCTGAGTCGATAGACTGATAAAGCTTCCTACACAAACGTTTTCTATGCAGTTAAAATCCTTTGAGAGGATTTCCAAAGTCGGAAATAACTGATTGCAATGTATTTTCGTATTTAGATTCACTTGCAGAATGTTTGCAATTGAGAAATATTTACATAGCTAAACCGTACGAGACGTTTATGTATATTTGATGAGAAATAATTCGATCGTATTTTTGAATACGCAAAGACAAACCTGAGCGAACGTTCCTGTGTGAGGTGCTTATCAACCCCTGTTTAGTACTGCTGTCTGCATTCATTTTAGAGCTGAAAACACGTCACATCCATTTTTCGATTTTTGCCAGTAAGCGATATTGTCATTTGATACATGTGTACACAATATCTAAACATCAAAATACAATACATTTCATGTGAATGGAATTACATAATACAATAAAGTAGTTTTAATAACAAATAAATCTCGTTATTTTAATTTGTTTTGAAACAAGTTATTAAAATATGGACAAATAAGCAAAAAACAGTTAGAATAAAAAAGTAGCATTGCGAGAATGCAAGAATAAATGTAATTACTAATTATTACTCGCAAACGCGCATTTTTGTTAAATAAATATGTAAAATACTACCATCTCTGTGACAATGATTATCATTTATATAAGTTTGTGATATGTGCATTTTGAAAAATATTTTACGCACTGCTTTCCCACATTAGCATATTAATATTCAACCCTGCGGGAATATAGAGACCAAACACTTACCTGAAATTATTAGAGAAATATTTATAAGCTTCGACAAATGAAGCTTGAATATGCAAATATTTAATTAAATTAATTGATAAAATATTGCATGAAAACATATTCAAGAATCACTAATTAATTGTTATTTTAAATTGTCTGGAATTAATTCTCATTATACATTAACATTATGACAATTCAGCTTTAATATTGCATGCAGCAAACTAGCTATTAATCAACTATTAAGCGCTATTAATTATTAAACATGAAATCATGTAAATAATTTTCAGGAAAGGATGTATTATCAATGCAAATTGAAATGCGTATTCTCAAAGCGTTGAAAGAACATGATATCTCTGTATAGACGGTATGGTGTAAACAACGTATATGTATTTTTATTTCAGATAAATATCTCAACATTGAACATTGACTAATGTATATGTATAAGTACATCGTTTACTCGTTTACGTCGCAATGGTAGTCCGATATAATTCGTTAATATATTCATATACTTCTCTACCTATCACTGGTCTACGGGTCCGTTACAAACTATCTGATCGCTTAATATCGATTATACGCAATAATGATTTTTATTCTCTTACGTAATATCTTAATCATCCCTGTATGCGTTTATTTATTTTTTTTTTTTTAATTAATTCGCGATAATCTGTCTCTTATCTACCGATGGATCGTCGTTGTAATCGCGTCGACGATCGTTACATCGTGTACGTAACGTTTACCCACTAATTAACTATTTTTATCACAATTACGGTATTATTATTAAAGCCGTTAGAGCGCCACGAACTTTGCCGGAACACTTTGATGATTCGTTTGTCTGCATATGAGAATAATTATCAGAGATAATCATCTGCACGCGCTTGTTTAGCGGAGCGTTACGTAATTTATTTTCGTTTATCCTCAGCAGAAATTTTGCCACAGGCTCAGATAACTAAATGTTGACGATAAAACAATGCGGTTATCGTATATAAAGTCTTAAATTACAATCAGGCAACGGAACTTTGAGTTCTAATCAATTTTTAATACTACGAAACTTGACATGAGCTTAAAAGAATTAAACTTATTATATTTTTCATTGAATATTTCCATTGATTTAACTAAATCTTCTTTGAACAGTTAGCAAAATGCTTAATGTCAAAAATCAAAAAATTATATCAATATCTTCGCAAATTTTTGTTAAGCGCAAGTCCTTCCGGAGTACAAATTTCTGAAAGGCGTTGTTTTGTAATTATATAACATTAACGCCCATAACATTTCCTGTCGCTGTTCTTATATTCCACCTTTTAATATATTGCTAATATAATATGCAATTCGGACAATGCTTTCAGGCCATCAATCAATAAGCGATCAGTGAAATCGGTATCAAAGTTCCCCCGAGTTTGCCGAATTGCTGGCGCTCGATCGGCGAGCGCAATGTCTAACATGTCGTTTTGGATCACTTTCTTGGCGCTTTTCGATAAACGCTGCTATTATCTAATTAATTAACAGTACCGCTTATTGCTGCTGTTTCGTGCATTGACTTGAAGGTGACGCGCTTCTGAGAACGAACAAAGCTGCGTGATCCGCGAACTGACTCAATTAAAAAATCATAAAGTATTAGAAATTAAAAAAATATACGAACTTAAACAAATGTAAAGAAAAAAATTACAGTGAAAATATATTTGTTAAAATTAGAATATTTTTTAAAATCCAAAATTAAACATTAGCTTCACAATTGTTGAACTTTTCCATTTCTTCCTATAGCTAATTATTTATTTCAATAAACTTAAACAAAAGACATCCGCTTTTTATTTATCTTTACAAAAGATAGAGGAACTGAAAACTCAGGATCAAACGGAAATAAAGATAGGCGTAGAAACAAAATAATCCATGGATTTATTAAAAATAACACAGAAGTTCGAAATGACACAACAAATCAGAACAATAAGCCGCGCTAACGGATTAAGACGTCTGACGACTATTATAGCGTATCACAATCGCGGGAATCGTTGCTCGAGGATCGATCGCGCATCTCGCCCGATCTCGATCCTCGAAAAAACTCCCTCGACGATATTGCCAATGGTATCAAGGAAAACTTCGCGTCACGTGGATCACGATTTTCAATCACTGTTCGACTCGCGCTTTGCGAGACATACGCGTGAACACGCACATTCCTACTTATTAATCTATTATTGCATAAATATGTGTCACTAGCCGCTCAGCGGAAACATTTTTCGTCGCAGAGGTCACCGTTACTCTAAGAATTATAGTGCGTGCAAATTGTATTCACCTTCCACCCATTTATCGAACTAAAGACCAAACCCTAGAAAAGCATTGAAAACAGAACGTACATAATTTGTCAAACGATTAATGATGCTTGTTAATTCCTGGAAGGATAAAAAAAAAAGACGTTTTTCGAGGATTCCTCCAAAGAGAATATTAAATGAGGACAAATAGAGAATAAGAAAATTGCTAAGTGTATAAATTTTGTAAATAGACACAATTTTTCATCGCACAGAATAATTCGCGCTTTATAATTGCTGCGATTAGAATCTCTGTCGTGACGTAAATTAAGTTGAAATGAATATTTACAGCGAATTAAAAGTATTACCACGTGACGCTATGTTTCCTGATGAATAGCACCTTCGGAAATCTCTTTAGAAACTCGCGTGCGATCTCTCATCCTCCAAACAAAAAAAATCAACAATCGGAGCTGTCGCGATTTCTCGAAGAACTTTCTGAAATCTATTCACCGATGCTATGAGTATGAAATAATCTATGAAGGTTTCAAATACCCTAAAAACGTGTAAGAAAATTCTGACCGGCTCTCTTCACCTCAAACGCAAAGTTTTTGTTCGGAGAACTCCTCGTTTCTGCCTTTTACACGAACATTAGCATATAAATACATAAATAATAGAGATATGTAAATAAAATTTGTAACGTCAAAACAAATATCGTAAGAATTTCATTTACATAAATATAAATTCATGTGGTTACCACACGCAACGGGTCTCTCCGCCAGCCTTTCTCTTACACTCTGTAAGTATAATAAACTCTATCATTTAGGGTTAACGTTTAACGTATAAGGTCCGACAAAAACAAACGTCCATCTCCAGGATGACTTACTTATCGTGAATTGCGTATCTAAATAAATATTAACAAATCGGCTTTCTCGCTATCGTTTCTTTTCACAGCTTCTAGGGACTACGCGTTACCTACGGGATAAAGCGTTCGATGTGTTTCGTTTACGCGGTAAGAGTTGCGATTATCATTGGGCAAATTGCTCATAATTAGTGTTGCGCGCGTGTATAAGCGAGATATGTAGTGCCAAACTGGTGTGAATTAACAACGTCACTTGTTAAATTAACTGATTCAACAGTGACACAACGGCGATTCACTTCCAATGTGACCGTGATTTTCGTAAATAATTTCGACGCGATGTCGTGGCGTCGAAAATCTCGACACTCTCTTCATCTCATACACTAATATCACTCACATTCAATGTCACTGTTTAACTGTTTCAAAAAAATATAACGCGCGAGAGCCAAGTGCAAAGTAGACTGAGCGAATAAGCTAATACTCGCGAACGCAAAGTTGCAAGAGTGATTGGAAAAAAACGCACACAAACCGCAATAGAAAATCGAACTCGACTCCTCCGAGATTACTTCGCCGGCCCGTAGTAAAGCGATTAAAAACTACCAAATCACGCAGCGTCGTTCGACTTAGCGGCATCACTTTCCCTACTACGTTTAGGGATGCTCACTACTCACTACGATTAAAAGAAACAAAAGCGCACGATGAGTGAAACAAATCTTCGGACATCCCTTCGACGTTTCTTCCTCAATTTTCGTCGGATGTTCTTTCGAACTTTTTTCGTTCTGACGTTTAGGCGAATGATCGTTTAAAATAACGTGTTCGTTAAAAGACATGAAGCATAATTGATGAGTAATTGATTGGTCTACAATTCGCGAGAAAAATCTTTTGCTTCGATTATCGTGCACTTTTGTTCGTCCAAGTATTTCGATTAGCGTTCACTTGCCTACAAAGCACACTGACGCTGGGAATTCGAGACGCCACCCAAGAATTTATCAATCCCACAAAATTCTGCTCCCTACTTCGGGTGTCGCCACGGCGATGAGAAGAATTTTCTCGTCCCGCGACGATGTGACCAATCTGGATTCCCATCGTCAGGTGCGAATCAGAACAATACGGTGTCTCTATCCCTTATGATTAATTCGCTAGTTAAATAAATCTACCTATGCTTACGCGTTAATTGTATTACCTATTATTATAAGGCATGGAGTATGTCACTTGTCCAGTCAACCCTCTCTCTTCGCTTCCCCCCCTCTCTCTCTCTCTCTCTCTCTCCCACCTTGCACACGTTCGCGTCTCACGCTCGTTTAACTCCATCGTTCGATACCCTTTTTTGTTTTTTTTGTTTTTTTTCCTTTAAATCTATTTCGCGAACTATCTATACGTGTAAGTGTCGTAACGATTCCGTTTCTTTAATATTCTTCGTTGGAAACTAGTTTTTTTTTTTTTTGTTTACGGTATGCTTAGTATACAGGTAAGTATGCACACGCTACTCTCCCGTGATCCGAAAAGAGAAGTGGACTCCGAGATTTTGCACGCCTCGTTGGCACGGGTGTTTTTATCTGAAACTTTATTTATCAAAGTGCTCTGTGTTTTATTTTATGTTTGTTTCAATTTTTTGGCCAAAGTCCTCGCGTGAATTCGTCTCTCGTTGAAAATTTCGCTTCGTTCGAAAGTCCGATCTGCGCGGCCAGCGAAACGGACAGGCTTTGCCGTTTGTTTCCACCTTCACAATTTGCGCACGAGGTCCATTCTCTGTTCAGAGCAATACGCTAATCGTATTAATAGTCGTAGGCGCTTAGTAATACGAGGGGCTCCGCTCGCGAGAGGAACTCCCTCTCCTCACAGTGTTTCAATCGTCGTAATTGTATCTCGTTACTTTGTAATCGTATAACATTCGGTTACTATTTACAAGCTTCATCTACTGGGGTGACTATGTGAACGATCGAAAAAGTCAAAAAACGTTAGCCATGTACCTCTACGTTGTCGGTTTGCGTGCTTCGTAATGTAACGCGTGTGTAGCATACGCAAGGATACAGAATGGCGATTCGGCTGATCGCGAAATCGGTAAAAGAACGTTACATTTGTGAAGAAAAGCACGAAGTCGAGAATAGAACTCTCTAGAATTGATAGTGCAGGCTCAAGAATAAACTGCTGAAGTAAACGTGAAACTCGATAAAACGATATAAAAACAAATTAGTTGCAAGAATAATGTCTTACTTTTCTCCATATAATTTTAACAATTACACAACATTTCTTACAAACAAACTTCTAATAACGAAATTGCAAAATTTATTTTTGACAACGCCAATCACTATCTCAATTTCAAGTGATCGTGGAGAGACTCGCTCTAATCAATTCGCGGAAATAAAAATCCGAAGAAATTGCTTCGGCAAATAATTCCTCGTTGATCACGCGAATTTTCGTGATTTCACAATCCACGTAAAATAAAAACCGATATTATTTCGTCGTAGCGTCTCATCAATGCGCAAATTCGTAAACACGAGAGCTTGCTGCGTGACCGAGTGTACGTGTAGATATGGGTGTATGTACGTTACGCGATGTGCATGCATGAATATATGTATATATACACACGCGTCGTCACTTCGAGCGCGTTTCTGCAACAGACTGTAGTGAGTATCGTAATTAAGGCCGATTCAGCGTTTCCCGCTTGCTTCTCTTTGAACGACATATACATACACATATATATATCGCATATTATTAAATCAAGTACATTAATAGAATCATATTAAATTAAATATTTTTTTTCGGTTTTTTAACCCATACACGACTAAATAAAAAGAGAACTAAATTATAGAAATAAAATGTAATTTCACTAATAGACTTAACGATAAAAAAGAAAAACATTGTCTCGATCGAATCTATTTGGATTATAAGTAACATTAGGCCAGCAATATAAGGACTCATTTTAGGCTGTTCGATTAATTGTCATTAAGCAATAACAAATCACACTACAACATTTTGCTCAATTCCCCTCTTTAAATCAAATATTAATTGCACTCGCAAAGAAACTGTATCGAAATAACGACAATAAACGCGACAATTAATGTCTTCACGTTTCGAAAGTGTACTTCCTCCGCCTTCGTTGCTGACAACGAAAGCAGGCAATCTGAACCGGGCTTAATCAATCGACCAATTTCATAAGTAAATTGCAATCGCAGATAACAATCTGTTCGGACGAAAAGAAAATTGATAAAACCTCTGTACTTTAGATAGAAGACAATTTTGCACGATCACACTTATTATCGAACCGCTTCTGTATATCTGTAATAATCAGATCGACGTAAGATGCGATCGTGCGAGAACACTTTGAACGCTTTACGTCACATATCGTCATACATATCGACGTTATACATATCGTCATTAAAATCTGCATGCACTCATGTTCATCCTTCGCTGTGATTCTTTCTTCTTTCTTTTTTTTTTTTTTATTTTTTTGCATTTTCGAAACGCTTTTTATAGGCCGGCCTCTCCATGCCGCGCGCGCGAACCTTTATAAAAATCATATAGTATATATATCACCAAATCAACAAATAAATATCCTAAATATATTAAATATGTGTAATATATATATGCAATATGCTCTCCCAACAAATAATATATAAGTTCATCTATTTCGTTAATAATATATATTCAATATAGTAATATATATTACTATATATTTATAATATATATTTATATTATTTTTTATTATTTATATATATTATATTTATATATTTATATATATATATATTAGGCATACTCTATGTGAAAGTCTACCCTTGTATCCCGGTAGGATCGGAAATGGTCGCTCCGATCCGCTATTTTTTAATAACATTTCTTTTTCTTTTTTTTCTTTATTAATATTGCCTTCTCACTATTTATCACTCGCCTTCGCTCTGGAAGGGTGCGTTCTCTTTCATTAGAGCCACACGGATCTCCCCTTCGCATGTGGTCGTAGCTCACAGCCAAAACCAAATAAATCCTCCTAGTTGATTAGAATGTCGCGTAGAATCGTCCCTTTGTGCCGCGTCTTGATCCGCTTTTCCGTCAACGTCTCCTCCTTTCTCTTTTTTCCATGTCGCGCATCGTTACGTTATGAACGCAACGTTATTGCACGGACAAAAAGAAATGCACAATTTTCTAGATTGTCCTTGACAAACAAAAACAAGCAACAAAAAAACACGCGCGCGCACGAAGGAACGATTTGCTCCGACAAAAACGTAGCCATATAATAATCCCACATCGCGCTTCGCTACGTCGAGTTCTTATATACGTAATAGACCTCTCATCGCGTAATAGCTCGATGCTGATGATACATTCTCTTCTCATCTTACTCAAAGCGTGTAAAGCTTTCGGAAGCTGTTTGCCGCGCTATTTATGTATACCGATAATTTCAATCACTACGAAAACGACCGGCAGCTTCTGAAAATGACACTCGGAGCAGAATGCTTTCCGTATAATGTGCCTGATCTTGCATCGCGGATACAAGATTCACCAAGCAATTCGCAAATTTATTTCCACCTTTCTTGAATTTTCCTCTCCAAAGCAATGCGCCTCTTATTATTCCCCGCGAGCTTTCGTCGTACGTTCTACCGAACAAACTTATCTACCGTGCTTGTGCTTCGTAAAACATTCTCGGTGTATCTTTCGTTACTTTATTTTCTTATAGAACGTTCTAGGAAAAAAAAAATCTACCATTTTCCGCCATTAAAATTACCGCGATTTTCATGGCAAACGAGCGAAAATAAAGTGAACGAATGTCGAATATCTCATCGTATCGCGTGTATTACCGTGCGCGGTAAAACCATTAGAAATCTCTCAGCTCTTTTTTTACGTCAAACCTTGTCCGCCGTCCTGCCCCTTAGATCTTCTCGATCGGTGTCGCCGGTTGAAACCGCAACTTGATGAACGAGGTCGCCGCCGTTCCCAGGGTGGAGTGAAACGCGTCGCGAAGCGCGTGCAAAGGTATCAGCATTTCGACACCCGACGCGTGGGACGGCGAGTCGCTCTTGCGCCCTTCGTCACGGTTGCGCTGCGGTTGACGCTCGTCGACGCACCGCTCCTTATTACTATCATTATCATGATGGTAATTGTGATCGTGCTGACTCTGCGAGCGCTGTGGCGAGCTGACCGTATCGGATGAAGGGTGCGGCAGGACGCGACGGGATTGAGAAGCAGGCTGCAACCTGCACGCACCCTGTGCCCCCTCTCACTTGTCTTCGGGCTCGCCCCGCGGTGATGTATCCGTGTCCTGTCTATCGCTGTAATTGAAATGCGAGAGAAATATGAAAAGACGGAATCTTGAAGTTTTCAACGGTCGAACAGGATCGCCGAGGCTCACCATATGTATCGTATAGACTTCATCTTCAGGGCGGTGGAGTTCTCCTTGCACTTGTACGCTAAAACCTGCTTAACACTGCTGACGTCCACCGACGGAAATCTCGATGTCACGTAAGCTGTAACAGCAAATGTGGAAAACTAATTAGTCTTTGAGAGAGAGAGAGAGAGAGAGAGAGAGAGAGAAAAGAACGTGCAAACTCGTCTGGATTGGTGCAATTAGAAAAGGAGCGTCTTGTTTAATGTGCGCTTTGAAATTTCATCGAGTACTTACATATAATAGCTTGAACCTTAGCCTTGTCAAGAGCAGGCTTCACAGGACGTTCGGTAGCTGTGCCGGCACGGCTCCAACGTTGACCGGTGACGGAGCATGTCGCCAACTCCGTCGGGCTGAACAATATCGCGGCTAATCCACGCGTCAACTTGCGATAATCGCTCCATTTGACGGCCCTCAGTTGCTCCTCGCAAACAGCTATTCCCTCGCCCAGATGGACCTAACGCACAAAACAAGAGCATGCTGAAATTATATACAGAACTGCAACGTGAAACTTGTGCTTTTTAAAGCAAATGGAAAAAAATGTAGAGGATAAAACTTTGAAAAATTAAAGGTAGAAAATATTCGTGGAAAAAAAAAAACAAGAAAAAAGTGTCTGGAAAATAGAATTAAATATATTTTGTACGGGTTACGCGTAGTTAAAAGTTGTGAAATTCGTGACACTGACCACACCATCCGAGGAGGATTCCTCGAATCCGGTGCGATAGGCAGGCATCGCAGCTGGCGGGGTCGTTCTCATGTCCAAGGGCAGCCAGTCGTTTCTGGAGGGCGAATTTCTGTGAACGGACGGCGAGGAGTGCTTGCCACCTCTGGTTCCGAGTCGCGGCCTACCGCGACGTATTCTTCGCGCTGTAATCATTCATCGTGAAGAGGCGTTTAATTTCGCGCTTCCGAGTCTCGAAGGGAAGGAAAAATAGTTAAGCAACTTCACCTGTTATTACGTGTAGTTATCTTTGCAACGCACACTCGGCGATACGAAAGGATCGCTAACTCTATGATCAGTAAAGCTACATTTGTTGTGAAAAAAAATTCGCAAATAATATCTTTTCACAATAACGGATGTGTGTAGGTATAAATAATAAAGGAAGCATCTAGATGGTTTGACAACGAACACAGAACGAGGTGTCTTCAGCTGATGAAATTTTTCTGGGTCAACCGAAATGACACGAGTAGAGACTTTTCTCCGGAGAATATGTTTATTCCGTTTGTACAAAAAATGACAACTCATCTTCACTCAATTCAATATAGTATTTCAAGCTACGTGATATCTTAAAAAAATTACAGGAATGATTGTACGCATAAAATGAATTGCTTTCGCCAAATTGTTGTTGCTGTTGAAGCGACGCAAGTCGCTTTTCCATGAATATTTTAATTATTTTCATGCAACAATTTTTAATCGATCGCTGTTGATGTAATACATGTGGAAATCAAATTACTATGCAAAACACTGTCAACTTTCCATCAAACTGTTTATAGTCACAGAGACTTAGCTTCCTACGAAAATCATCATCTTGCGAGAATCCACCGTTCGTCTTCTTCACGAGTTTAATCGACAACCCTCTCTCCTAATCAACCTCCCCCCGAATAATCGATACTATAAACTCCCTATCCAAGAATCGTGTGATATTAACATCAAGAACGACAGTTAAAATGTTCATGCTCGCACCGACGTTTTCGCGTCGACGTTCGATCTTCAATGAGGAGAACCCAATCGGTTCACCGGTCCATCCGACATTGAAGCCCCGAGAATATTATCGCAACGGTATCTCCTGGCTAGGCGCTCGGAGAGGCGTTCTCGCGAGAGACGAGTCGACCCAACTGACGGACTAGTCGAGGCTGTCGACGACTCGACGTCTCCCGGCTACAGGCCTCCGACGGAGGAAGAGGAGGCGTCGAGGATCGGCGATGGCTATGGCACCATGGCTTTCCGCTGCAGCGACGTCAGCGCGAGGAGGTCGGGGCGGTCGCGTGGGCCGTACGGAGGTGTCTGCGTAGATTGCTGTTGTTGCTGTAGACGCGGGCGCAGCGCGGGCAAGGCCGCGGGGTATCCCAAGTGCAGACCGGCTCCGCGGCGCCGGGCACACTCGATATCATTAACGACGCCGACGGCGATCCCGCTCCCTCCGTGCCGATGCCCGCGGCTGCAACACACCAGCCGACCAATCTAGATTAGTTCCTCCATCAATCCATCCGTCGCGTGCAGCCAACAATCACCCTCCTCCACCTCCGCTTCCTTCTCACTCATCTCTCTCTTTTCTCCCTCAATATCTTCTCCTTATTTTTTTTTTTTTTTTTAT